GAGAGAGAGAGAGAGGCTTCCATATCAGTTATAGTATTTTTAAATAGGCTTATAGTATTTTGAAAAACATTGAAAAAATATAAGGAATCAAATCGGTTCCTTTCGACTAGTCCAAAATTGGTGGGCTACTTCAATCTATAAAGCAGCCCATGAAAAAGGAAAAATTATTATTGTGTCATTATGTGTATTTCGGAGATTATAAAAATATGAGAGCACCCTTTGGAAAATATATAATAATAAAGGGATGCTAGCTTAAAAGCTAAAGCTATGGACTCCGCTCTCATCATCAATCTTAATGATCAAAACTAGATACGATCTTTTCTTTAAGACATTAATAGTCATATATATAAAGAGCGTTGTAATCATGTTTAATTTTTACGATAGGGGTTCTTTCCACTTTTCTACCTCTTCAATGTGGTCTGGATTGCTATGAAAACAAAAAGTAGAGTTCGATTATGTTGAGAAAGACTTAACCGAAGAATTCATTCAATAGCAAACCTTACTTACCCAAAGGAAGAAGAAAGACACATCTTTTTCACATAATCCTGATTCAACTTCTTTCTTTGATAAGAATTGATCCGACGTTTGTCGTAGCTATAAGAGGAAGATGACAGCTGCCCCTAAGGTTGAACATCATATCTCTTTCTAATGATCAACTAGTGGTTCCTGAAATTTTGATTTTTTTTGTTATTTTATTTTCTAAGAAAAGGTGTGTGTGAGAGGCAGTGACTTGGTTTAGAGTCTAATTGAGTTTATTTTGGGGTATAATCATATCAACTTAATTAGAAGTCCATTGGACCTATTAGAGGACTAAGTTAGTGACTTGGGGTTGGGCTGGGCGGTGGTACTGCTAGGCCCAAGTGATGGTATCACCTAAAAGCTAGAAAACACGAATTGTACTTTTTCAAAAATCTCGATTATGCGGTAGTATCACCTAGGCAAGCGGTGGTACCATTAGAACTTAGGTTCCGAGGCTTTATCAAGCGATAGAATCACCTAAGCAGGCGGTGATACCATTAGAGCCTAGGTTCCCAAGCTTTGTATGGTGGTAGTACCGTCCGACACAAGCGATAGTATCGCTAGTACCCTAAAAACCTAGAGATTTAAATTTTTTATTTCATTTTAAAGTTATTTGGGGTATATAAATACTTCACTCATGCTTGCTTGATGAAAGTACGAAGAAATTATAATTTGAAATATGTAAATTCTATTGAAAGATATTGAGTCTCATCCACGTTGAGTTAAGAGGTCAAATTGAGTCGATGTAAGGTTTTCTTTAAAAAAAAAAGGTATGAAGATTCTCTTGTAAGCTTATGAAAAGGAGAAAGAGTTATAATAAGGTTAGTTGATCTTCGCCCATTGAAAAGAAGATCGATAATGAAAGCCGATGATCTCGAGGGAAGAGGAATCAGAAGTAAATATAGGTCGAGACGATCGAATCACTATAAATCTAGTTTGCATTTCTCTTTATACTTTTTCTTGCTATTACTAACTAATTTAGTTACTCACTACCCTTACTCACATTCTAAGTTAAATGCATTTTCGTTAAGTATTTTTTGATCGAAAATTTTTAAATCAAAATTTTATTCTGAAAGCACTAATTCACCTCTCCCTCTTAATGCCTTTATGATCCTAATAATTGATCTCAGATTCTGCCAGTTGGTTTAACACCTAAGAGAGATTAAATAATTTTTTTCTAATAATCAAGAGGGTCACCCTATCACTCATCCTCCTATGTTTAGTAGGACAAAGTATACTTATTAGAAGACACGAATGCATATTTTCTTGATTTGTATAGATTTTAATTTATGGAATGTTGATGAATGTGATTTTCAAAAATCTTCTAAATAGATAAATGAATGAAATGATCTAAAAAAAATATATTTTCTTTAAATGCTAAAGCTATAAATACTTTATTTTATGCTTTAGACAAAAATAAGTTTAATTATATTTTTACATATAAAACTACACAAGATATTTAGCACATACTTAAAGTTACTCATCAAAGCACAAATAGAATAAAAGAATATAAGATTAATATTTTGGTACATAGTTATGGATTATTTAAAATGAAGTCAAGTGAAATCATTGGTGACATATATACTCATTTTACAGATATTCTCAATGCTTTAAAAGCTCTTAGTAAATATTATACTAATTTTAAATTAGTTAATAAAATTTTAAGATCTCTTCCAAAAAAAGTTGGGATCGAAAGATAACTATAATTCAAGAAGCAAAGGACTTGAACAACTTTTCTCTTAAAGAACTCGTAGGATCATTAATGACATATGAAATGACTTGCAAGAAACATAATGAACATCAGGAAAACCTTACAAAGAACAAGAAGGATATTGCACTTAAAACTAAAGAAGACCACTCGAGCGAAAACTCAATAATGATATATCACTCTTTATAAGAAAATTTAAAAAGTTTATGAAAAAAATAAGACTAATTCTACAAAATGAGAATCTAAAAATAAAAATAAATTTTAAAAGGATATAATAATTTATTATGAATACAAAAAGCTAAGGTATTTTAAAAATGAGTGTCCATAATTGAAAAAGAAGCTGCTAAAGACGAAGAAAATATTCAACGCAACATGAGATGAATCAAGTGTATCAGAAGACGAAGAGCAAACTAATAAAGACGAAGTGACGAAGTACACATTGATGGCTTTCAACAACGAGATATATGACTCACCTGAAATCTTCTTATCTTGTGATAAATTACTTGATGTATTTCATGATTTATATGATAAACTTAAAATAATTAGTAAGAAATATAAATTACTAAAAAAGATCATGTATCTCTCTCTAATAAATTTGGTAAATTGAAAAATAAGTATGACAATTGCATGTTAACATATTGCACTAATTATGAAGAGGTAGACTCATTAAAAAAGAAAAATATATTATTATAATAAATATTAAATAAATTTAAAATTTAAAATAAATCATTAAACATGATTCTTGCTAATAAAGGTTATGTATATAGAAAGAAAGGAATCAACTTTGTGAGTAACAACACTCAACAAAAGCTAACTACATTTGTAAAAGGACATATATTATATATTTTTCTAAAGTTAAATATAATTTTTTTTGGAAGATGTGATCATTATGCTTATACATATTTACTTAAAAAGTATAGCTCTCATAAATTAGTTTGGATTCCTAAAAGAACTATAAATGATTTAATGCCAAAAGTTAAGAAAGATATATCTAAAAACCTAAAGTTAAATGGGTACCTAAAGTAAACCCCCTCTTTCTTGTAGGTATGTCTTCAATCGAAAGCTAGAGCAAAAAATAATATCTTGATAGTGGATGCTCAAAGTATATGACCAGAGATCCAACACATTTCTCAAAGTTCATATTTGGAGACAATAATAAAGGAAAAATTATACGTAAAGAAAATATAGTCAATAAATCAAATCTTTTGATTGAAGATGTCCTGTTAGTAGATGGCTTAAAATATAACTTACTAATGCTTGCATTATAGAGATATTATATAAAAATAAATATTTGATTACCTTAAGAAGCGATAATGTGTATACTATTGATCTTGATGATTTTCATGATAAAAATTATTTTTTGATTTTTAACGATGATGCATGGCTTTAGCCTAGGAGATTAGGTATAAAATTGATCTCACAAATTACATTGTAAGAGGAATACCAAGAATTAAATTTGTCAAAGACAAAGTTTGTGATATATGCCAACTAGATAAACAAATAAATAGTAGCTTTAAACCTAAAAATCAAGTGAGTACCTCTAGACCATTATAATTAATTCATCTGGATTTATTTGCACTAATTGATATCATAAGTCTATGAGCTAGTAAATATGCTTTTATGATTGTTAATGATTATAGTAGATATAATTGGACATGCTTCTTGATACATAAAAGTGATTATTTTAAATGTTTTACAAAGTTTTACAAATTAGCTCAAAATAAAAAAGGTTTTATGATTTCTTCTATTCATAGTGATCATGGTGGTGAATTTAAATATCATGATTTTCATAAATTTTATGATTCAAATGGGTATGACCATAATTTCTCTATTCTAAAAAAATCCATAACAAAATGGAGTTGTTAAGAGAAAAAAAATGAGTTTACAAGAGATGGCAAGAATAATGCTTAATGAATAAAGTCTACCCAAATATTTTTGTACCGAAGTCATTAATATGACATATTATATCATAAACACAGTTCCCATAAGACCACTAGTATCAAAAGCTACATATGAATCGTGAAACAATAAAAGATCCAACATTTCATATTTTAAGGTTAAATTTAGATTGTAAATATTTTATTTTAAATAAAAATGATGCCTTAGAAAAATTTGATGCAAAATCGAATGAAGGCATTTTTCATGGATATTCCTCTGTTTCTAAAGATTATCGAGTTTTCAATAAAAGAACTTTAGTTATTGAGGAATCTATTTATATTTCTTTTAATGAGTCTCCTAAATTTAAGAAAAATAATTTTGATGATAATTTTAAATTTGATATATTAAATTTGAATAAGAATACTCATCTTTAAAATAACTTAGATATATCTACTTTCAAAAAATCCTTACCCAAGGAATGTAAGTATATAGATGCACATCCTAAGGAGCTAATCATTAGGTGTTCAAACTCATTCTTCATTTAAAAATTTTTATATAAATACTATTTTTTTTGTCTCAAATTGAATCCTATAAGGTTTGTATGCTTGTTCCTAGACCTAATAATCATCTTATGATTGGCACTAAATGGGTCTTTAAGAATAAGTAAGATGAACAAGGTATCGTGGTTCAAAACAATGCTAGATTAGTGGTCAAAAGTTTTAACCAAGAAGAATATATAGACTATGAAGAAACCTTCACTCTTGTGACAAGACTTGAAACCATAAGGATACTCCTTGCCTACCTATGTTTTAAAAATTTTAAGTTATTTCAAATGGATGTCAAAAGTGATTTTCTTAATGGTTTTATTTTCGAAGAAGTTTATGTTGAGCAACCACTAGGATTTGAAAATGTTCTTTTTCTAAACAATATTTATAAGTTATCTATGGCTCTCTATGGGTTAAAGCAAGTCCCTAAAGCTCGGTATGAGAGACTTAGTTTTTTTTTATTTAAAATAATTTTTCAAAATGTAAGATCGATACCATATTATTTATTAAATATTTTAAAAATATTTTTTTATTATTTAAATTTATATTGATGATATTATTTTTGGTTATATAAATGAATCTTTATGTGAATCATTTGCTGAAAGTATGAACCAAGAATTTGAAATGAGTTTAATGCGTGAATTGACATTTTTCTTATGATTGCAAATTAAGCAATTAAATGATGAAAATTTTCTTAATCAAACTAAGTATACTTTAAATATGTTGAATATCAAATTTTGATGATGAAATCAATTGATGAATTAATGATCTAATTCATGCGTTGATATAAGTGATGCAGGACTAACTACGATTATGGAAAAGGCAAAACGATTAAAGAAGAATCGAAGTTGGGCCGGAGTCAATGATCAGGCATTAAGCCGGATGAATCGAGTGATACACCGAAGGATCGAATGAAGGAGTGAAAGCTCACCGGAAATTCACCGGGAGTTTGTCGGAAGATCGCCAAGAGTTCACCGAGAGTTCGGTTGAACAATTGATGTACTAGACAATTTATATTCCTTGTATCATAAATTTTTTTAGCCTTAACTATCTCAGTTAGAACTTTAATTTGAGTTAGTTTTAGAAAAAATCCTACTAAGCCAATTAGGCCCTAAACAAGGTTGAATTGGGCTGATTGGATGGCTCATTCAGCCACTTAGAGCCACGTTAGGCGATGGCACTGCTTAGGTTGGACGGTGGTACCGCTTAAAGCTTAGCCTCCCAGGTGATTTGGGTAGTGGTACCGCCCAACCGTCGATAGTTAATATTGCTAGGTGATGATACTACTAGAGTATGATCTTCGAGGCTCTATTAGACGATGGTACCACCTAGACTAGGCAATGGTACCACCTAGTATCGATCTATAGATAGTGATATCGCCCAATACCAGCGATGGTACCGCTAGTACCTCAAAAACTCAAGATGAAACACTTTTTGACTTCATTTTTTAAGCCATTGAAACTTATAAATATCTCACTTTTTCTTGCATAAAAAAATATAAAAAGTGTGAATAAAAGTCTATAGATTTGTTAAATAAACTTAAATGAATTTTGATAACAAAAAACAAAAAACCATCGAATGAAAGTCTCCAAAGAAATAATTTTTTTCATTGTGAATTCTAAGTCAGGCCCCATTATCTTAGTGGATGAATCAATAGATGAACTTGCACCTTCGACCAAAATTTGACTTGTAGTGGTTGACTTTCTGAAGCAAACAGCCATTTTGATTGCAACAACATCTCACTGTTTGGTCAACTTGGAACAAATTGAAATCAAACCAGAGAGTTTTGATTGTTAAACAACCATTTACATGACTTTCAACAGGTATGACACATCAGATCCAAGCAAAGCATTTTGGTCCATACTTCAAGAACTAAATAATAGCAACATCTATGCAAATAATATAATGTTACAATCGGTCAGAAAAAGAAAGGGGTTAGTAGAGAAACATTCAAGTTCTTGGGAGAGTGGCAGACCATTTCATACTCTGCAAACATGGGAAATTACCATCACACACAGAAACAGCTCAAAAGGCTTGGATCAAATGCTCCACCAACTCAACAATTTTGCTGGAAGTACATAATCTGCTAGGTGAGACTCGTGTGGCATTCCTCAGATAATCATCCTATCAACCAACTTATAATCCTAGGAAGGCACATTGCTTTCTAGCATGCTCAGGTATCAACTTCGTTAATGTCTCCATTGGCACTCCCTTCAACTCTGATTAACATATGAAAGCAAAATGAATGTCTGCTGATTCTAACAGATGATTAGCAAAAAAATCATTTTTTGCATGATCATCACTGTTACTAATAAAGACTCACCATGAGGCTTGAAATTAAAAAGAGGGGGCATAAAGCGGCCATTTGGTAAGCGAGTACTCGGATCTCGAAGCTCATCAAAGAATGGATGAATCAATGCTTCTAACTGCATTCAAGAAAGACTTCATAAGATGGAACATTCCACAGTCATTTACAGAAAGGAATTGTGGACACTCACAGCAGTACACCGCAGGTTTGGGGAGTACTGCAAAAGCCTAGATACAAGGTCAACAGCTTCTGGAGGCATTCGCTTATGAAAGATCTGATGGAAGTAGATGTAATGATTAAGGTTCATCATAAGAAAAAATAAAAATATAAAAAGCAACAGTGAAGGTATACTACGTAAAATTAAGAAATGGAAAATTGAATGCAAATATAGTTATGTTACCTTGTGCCAAGGGTGGGCTTTAATCTGTGGGAAATTGAACTCCGTATAATTTGGGTTCATGCATTTGATTTCTTCTCTTGTAGGGGTACCCAAAACCTGCAACAGCAAAGTTACATAAGAGGACAAATGAGAGGATAAGCAGTTGATATAAAATCAGACTAACAAAACCATAACATACCTTAATTATTTCAACCAGCTGGTCAACTCCACTTTCACCAGGGAAGAGAGGCTGGTTTGGATAACAGATCAATTTAATTAAGCGATAATGGTAAAAATAATATCCAATCCAGAATGGTAAGCTACTATAACACATTCATAATCTTAGCTACCTGTCCTAGCAGGAGTTCAGCAAGAACACAACCAGCGGACCAAATGTCAATTGCTGTAGTATACTCAGTTGCCCCGAAAATAAGCTCAGGAGCTCTATAGTATCTAGAACAGATGTAAGATATATTTGGTTCTCCTTTCACCTACAAGACAAGCAAAGATTTCAGCATTACAGCCACTAAAAAAATATTAAAATTGTCAACTATAACTCCAGGGATGAAAAGTTACCAAGACTTTTGCACTCCCAAAATCACATAGTTTCAGCTGATGTGTATGTGGGTTAACCTGTAACAGAATGAGATGCTGTGATTAAAAAAGACTTGTTTGCAAATAAATGATACCCACATACAACAGAAATTAAGTACTTATTACCACTGCTGTAAAGATAACAAACAAAAATGAAACTTCACCAATATCCATTATTAAATTGTTAATACAAGCAGAAAGACACATTTTGTTATTTGATGTTAATCAAGTACTGACTCATAGAAAATAAGTTAAAAGAAATGGATCAGTCTATACCAGAACATTTTGGGGCTTAATGTCCCTGTGGCACACCCCAATGTTGCCATGAATATACGCCAATGCTCTACATATCTGTTAAAAAAAGAATAGGAAATTGTTTCAACAAATTTTGAAGTACTTACAAAACAAGTGGGGGACTAGCAACATTTTTGAGATAATCAGTTTCTCGACCATAATTGACTTTCGATCTAGATTACTGGCCATTTTGACAATATTATCTTGCCAACGATCAGGATACTGGCATTAATCTTCCTGGCTACAACAGAATAATTGGGATATTGACCAAAATGCCATAACATTGCATAACAATTTTACAACATAATCTAATCTATTAAATCATGAAAGCTATTCGATAAAATGTTAAACCATTGTGAGCTCAAACTAACCTGATACATGTATAGCTTCACATATATTAGCGGCATTCGTTGGTTCATCTTGTTGTAGTGTTTGATGACACGATGAACTGTCTCTGGTACATATTCAAGTACCAAATTGAGATATAGCTCATCTTTCTGAGTTGTTGAAAAGAAGCAATGCTTCAGGCAGACAACATTTGGATGGTCAAGAAGGCGCATGGTTTGTAGCTCACGGTTCTTGTACCTCCTATCTTGAAGAACCTTTTTTATCGCTACAGTTTCACCCGTCTCTAGACACTTGGCCTATTAAAAGGAGAAAACAAGAAACACAAAGAAATATATTAAAATCATAAATCTTTAAAAAGTTAAATCCAAGGACAAATAAGAAAGATACAATATATTAAAATGATCTCACAAATCTGAAAAAAATTTCCAGCACATTAGCATAACAAGGATCATATCATTAAAGCATTCTCATAAAGCAACTGCAATGTAACAAATAGCTGTACAAAACTTCTACCGGCAATTGCAATCAGAGTTTACAAGTTTCTAGAACAAAGCATAATGAAATCTTTGGTCGACCAATAGAATCATCACACTGACCTGGAAAACAGTTCCAAATGATCCATGTCCTACGACACGCTCAGCCATGTAGCTTATAGTCTGCAGGTAAAATCAACAGTCAAGTAGCTGCAGTTCATTTTCAGTTGACAGAAAAACAAAAAAGAAGGTGATTTTTTTTTTTTTTTGTGCACAAAAGGAGTACTCAGGCCTGCATCTGTAGGCTGCTCCTTCATACCTCCATGAAAATGATATACATTTGTATCAGAACAAAATATCTCTTGTCTTCAAGATTTCTTTTATATTCACTTAATATTTTTACCTGCTTTGGCTGGCCATTTCTCCCATTGATAGTCGTAACAATTATATGACCTGTTTCTGTCCCATTCCCATCAATCACTGTGGCTTCCACTTCCTGCAATAGTCATCAAAAGAGTTATAGTAAATCACATGTATTGTCGCATTTGTCAAATAGATAACTCTTCTTTTGCATAGCAATGTCACAGAGAATATACACCACTTCTCAGAAGCATATAAGGAGCTGATCAACTACCTTATCATCCCGTATTCTCATATCACTCATTTCACCTGGCAATCTATCCACATCAACATTAGTGCCACTCGGATTTTTGGACCCTGAAGAAGGCACCATGCTCATTGAGGCCATCTGCTCACAATAGAAACTATAGGACCCCAATTTCAAAGTGACCTCAGCACCTTTTTCAGATCGAAGCTAGCATTTACCTGTTGCCAAACATACAACAGATGTCAGTAGGCATAATAGAAATGCAAAAGCTATCTTGATTATCTCATTTGACAGATATGACCAATAGCATAATATTTAAGAAGTATTTGGGTCCACATGTTAAAGCTTACAGAAAAATGAAAAATCAAAGTTCTTCTGATAGAAACTTTAACAAAATTACATTCTACAAGGAACACGACTAGGAAAAAATAAAACCACTGAAAGAAATAACTAACTTCATGCAATCATTTACACAGCAAATTAAATGCACAGTTATCTCAAATTTAGCCCTCAATTCCTCCGGTGGCCTACAATTTCATATCGCACTGCCAGCTGAGGAAGGAACAAAATCAAAGAGTAGTCACCAATTAACATAGCTACAGTAAATGGCTAAGAATCTTATCCAAAAGTTACGAGCAGTTGCTTAGCCAAGTGAATCATGAGCAATCAACATTTTGAATAGCTACATTAAATAACCAAGAAGTTATTTTAGAATACAAGCAGCAGCTTATTAACTAACTACGTGAATCAATGTATTCCAAGCTAGCAAGCAACATAACTTCAACTTACCAAAAGATGAAAGCCATAAAATACGTACACCTAATTACACACCTTAATTGTTTCTCTTCAAAACCAAACCAAACCAGTCGGCCAGAAATATTTGGCAGCTGATCTAAAATATTTCATAACTGTCGAGATAAATCTAAGATATATCTTGACGAAAAGAAAATGCTCAGATTCATCTGAGCTTTTACCTCAAGCACATCATTCGCTACAGGTTCTCAATTGCATAAACCGATGTACAGTAGATCTATGCAAAAAGAACTATATACTAGCGGGTGTCTCATTGGAAACCAACTTTATCTTCCAGGTTTAGCACAGTTCCCTATTTAACTAAACGGAAGAACAAGCCACGCAATGCTAGGTAAAATTCTCGAGCATAAAAGGGACGCCAGCTTTCACCGAGCTTACTGCTCTAAATTTAGATCTCTCAAGAAATGTGGCCAAGGAGAATCTATAATAGTCCACAGGTACCACCAGGTTTTCAAGTAGACTTAATTCTTTTCTCATCCAAGAAATTAGCTTGAATAGAGGAACTTGATAAAGGACCGGGATGATCACTTAGATTTAGAAAGGAATAATGGAGAAGTAATTCGAAAAGGGTTGCATTTAGGAAGCCAAAAGGTCCCGTATTGCGGCTAGAACGCCGCCGAATACTCGAAAAGTTTCCTTCTGAACCAATTTCCTCTTTCCGAGATCTGACAAGACCCCAAGCAAAATCCCTATCCTAACAGCGAGGATAAAGATAAAATCTCGGAAATTTGCGCCAAATCCAGGAATGGAGAAAGAAAACTCCGATAACCTATCTAAAGAAGTCCAGAAACTCCACAGATTTGGTCAAAAACACACAAAAATGGGACTACATGCCACAACAAATCCATAAATGAGCAAGAATTAAACCGAAGAACCAAAATGCTCACAAGATCCAACTCCGGCTCCCAACACCTCTTCTTTTCCGATCGACAGCAATCAACAACATCAAACAACGGATCCTAGGAGAAAAAGCACGGGAAAGATCGACCCCTCCTCGCCTCGTCCTCCTCCTTCTTCCCCGGCCGCGATTCGAGAGAGGGATCAGGAATGGAGGAGTTCCATCTCCACCCTCCTCGCCTCAGGTGGTATATAAATTTCTCCACTTTCTTTTCGAAGGCAGTCAAAGGCAAAGCCTCTTCCAAGTTCTCAGACGTACGCTCTCTTTGACCGGTCAAACTAAATTCCAACCCACCCCCCGCCCTCCGCATAAATTATTATTAGTCTTACATTTTCTTGGTAATTTTCTGACCTTTCTTTTCTCTATTTTTGACCAATTAATACTGCTAAGTTTTAGGTTTTAGTTAATAAACAGCGAATATTCCCATCGGATCCCCTCAAAATCCAGCTTAATTATCCTTCCGTTGACGCAAATACCCTTGTTATTTTCGAAAATGACCACCTCGACCTGACTAGTAAAATACCTAAAATACCCATTTCGGTTCCTTCCCTCCCGCCTATAAAATCGACGGTCCTGCCCCACGTGACATGAGATCAGACGAACTTAAACGCTACCCTAAGATCACGACCCTGGATCAGGCGAAGGATCGGACGGCCGGAGGGACGCTTCAAGAAAGCAGGAAGGGGGTTTCTCGTAAATGCACCAGAGCACAAGGCGAAATGATTGGTTGCGACCGCAGGACGATGGAGCAGGCTGTCGCTGCCCTCCGCCTGGGCCCCACGTGTCCGAAAGCTGCTACATTGGCTATTTAATTATGGCGGACGCACACCGACCGCCACCTTTTTATCCCTCGTATATACGGGGGAACCAAGAGTTCCCTTACCGTCCCGGTCCGCTTACCGTCGGAGTTGAATCGGTCAACCCGCGGTTGGCGTGAAGTTTGACCGGGCAAGTGGACCGCTTGATGGTGCCTATTTTTGAGATTCGTGTTGGAATCATCAGGTGAAAGTCCGATGTAGCCTCAAACGGGACGGCAAAACGGTCGATCGCAGCCAGCTCGACCGGAACCGGTCGAAGGCAGCGATGCTCGTCATTGCGCGTGCAATTGCTCTGTGTTTTATTTGGTCAAATCCTTCGATACTTTGTCGCAGAAAACAAAAACCTTAGCGCTGGGAAACATATTTTTTTTGCCTTCGTATGGGGATCACCGGTCGAGCAATACGTTGAAGGCGTGCTTGGTTTTGAGTCCTTGTGGAGGTGGAGGTGGAGGTGATGGTGTTCAAATTGTGGACTCGTCAGATTCAATTCTCTGCACCGTTCTACCAAGAAAATAAAATAAAATAAAATAAACGTGGTGGAACAATGGTTATATTTTATTAGTGATGGGAAAAAAATAAGCACCACCGATCAAGCTCATGATAAAACGACACGTCAAATATAAAAAGTCCAGTTGGTAAACCTTATAAATTTCAATCAATTTAATCCATCATAAAATCATTCTTGTATAAGAATAAACTATAATTAAAAAATTTTAATATCATAATTGAAATCAAAAGTATGATAGATAAATAAGAAATTATCCTTATCTTTTAAAGCCATAATCAAATTGAGTACCTTGAACGTTGAAATACCATAGTGTCGATCTACAACACCTCTTTTCTCTTCTTATTTATGATATTTGATCCATAGAAGATTTTATCATTATATATATACAAGAACAAGAACAGAGGTCCTCTTACAAAGAAGATAATTAGGAAAGTTTTATCTCCTAAAATTTTCTAAATAAGTTAATTTTTTATTACTCAATAATCTTAATTAGAATCTAATTATATATTTAATATATCTTATCCTAAATTAATTAAGCTACAAAATCTTACATTATCTCATTTTACTCATTAATCAATTAAAATATAAAATAATTAATTAAAATTAAAATTAAAATTTATTTTAAAAATTATTTTACTTTAATTATAAAATCAAATATTTTAAAATATATTTTACACATATATATAAATTTTAAAAAATATATTAATAAATTTAATAAATATAATATTAAATTAAGTTTTACTATCAATACGAGCCATAACGACCATGTGTCATGCTTCTTTTAGTGTATTATAATACCATTAATTTTTTATAATATAATTCATAATACCCCTTGTAATTTTATCTTATCAAGATAATATATACATACATAAATATAAACAAGATTAAACATTTTAATGGGATGGGACTAGGGCGATGAGTGTTTCTCGATCGGGGTCCTCGTCTCATCCCTCATTCCCTATTTAGATGAGGCAAGGGTACATAATTAGGTATGAGAAATTAATTAGTTTTTCATATTCTCCTAATTAATTCATTCCATTTTAGAAAAAATAAAACTATTATCAAAACTAATTAGTAATACTAAATTTTATAAATAATAATAGTATTTATAAAGTTTACACATCATAATAATATTGGTTAGCGATTAATGTCATAATGTCAAAGTTATAAAAATTGATATAATTTCTTAAATATATATATATTTTTATATTATATTATATATATATATATATATATATATATATTTGTATATAAACTAGGTGGGGAGTGGTTTATCCGACTTCATCTTATAATCATATGAGTAATAGAAAATACCCCTCATCCTCACCCCATTAGGGGTGAGTGCCCATGGGTACCTATACCTATAGAGACGAACATAATTTACACAACTAATTAAAATAGCAAAAGAAAATAATTTTAATTATGTAAGAAAAAATATCAATTATAATAGATACTTTAACATACATCATCATATTTTTTTATGGGTTGGGTTGAATCTCGGATTTTGATGATGAAATTAATTGGCAAAGTGTTTTATCTAATCTATATGTTGAGATTAATATGCAGGATTAACTACGATAGCAGTAAAGCATAAAAGCAGATATTGGGCTGGAGTCAAAGATCGGACGGTACGTTGAAGATTTGGATGATGTGCTGGAAGCTCATCGAGAGTTCGTCGGGAGCTCACCGAGAGTTTGTTGAGAGTTCACTAAGAGTTCGTCGGGAGTTTGCTGGAAGTTTGCCGAGAAGTTCGCCAAAAAATCGCTGAAAGAATAATTGACATACCAAACAAAGATTGCTTGTTTAAATGTCTTAATTATCGTAGTTACACCTTAAGTTGAGTTAAGATCGGAGGTAATCTCACTAACTCAATTAGGTTCCAATTGGGCCCTTAATAGAGCTGAACTAGGCCGGTTGAACAGCCCATTTAGCACCTGAAGTCATGGCCGACGATGGCATCGCTTGGTGACTTAGTCTCCTAGGTGATCTAGGCGATGGTTCCACCGGCAGTTAATGCTGCCAAGCGATGGTACTACCCCTGTCAAGCGGTGGTACCGCCAAAGCTTGGTCTCCGAACTCTATCAGGTAGTGGTACCGCCCAGTGTCAATCTGCAGACAATAGTACCACCCAATAATGACGGTGGTACTGCTAGTACCTCGAAATCCAGTGATGTGATACTTTCTGGCTCTAATTATAAAGTCATTGGGGCCTATAAATACCCCACCCTTTTCTACGTGAAAGGACACGAAAGTGTGAACAATATCTTGAAATCTTGGGGTGTTAAAAGTATTATAAAAGTGCAAAAGAGTCCTCCTCCTCCCTTTCTAGTGTTGTGATCATTCAAGAGATGTGTGAGGTTTGTAAGGGTTATCTCCTAAACTTGTGAAAATGAGAAAGCATTGTAAAGAGGTGGTTGGTCTTCACCTATTGAAGGAAGACCATTAGTAGACGCCGATGACCTTGACGGAGGAGGAATCGAAAGTGGATGTAGGTCATAAAGACCGAACCACTATAAATTCTGGTTTGCATTTCTATTATTGTCATTTACTTACTTTGCAATTACTTCACTTCCTCCTTACTTGGCTTTCACTACCCTTACGAACAAACACACTTTCAAGCTATCTTCCGAGATTAATTTTTGTTTAACATACAAAGATTTTTAAACCGACGCTTTTATCCGTTACGCTAATTCATCCCCCCTCTTAGTGTCAACTCAATCCTAATAGGTTGCTCATAAATCATATCATAAAAACATATTTTTTTAGATACCATAGGCTGTAAGGGCTCCTCAATAAATGGATCAATAATTTATATAGTAGAATTCAATTTCTCAATTAACATTAGTTGTTTCAAAACTCTTTCTCCGACCATAAAGTACTTTATCTCGATATGTTTAGAACCTCTAAAGTACTTGTCATTCTAAGAGAAAACTATTACAATATTATCACAAAATATTTTTATTGATTTATAATTAAGTCAATTACACCAAGTCCTAAAATGTAATATTATAGCTACAAAACTTGATTAGTGACTTGAAAGTATATAATGAAATTAACTTTTATTTTTTATAATGTAATAATAAATTTCTCTATACTTTTCTTATAAATTATCCCTTCAACTAATATAAATATAAATTTTAAAGTAGACTTTCTATCGTCAAGATAATTTCAAAATTAGTATTTAAAAATTCTATCATTTGAAGCTAATATGACCTTTTATAAGCATATAGTTCTTTGTCCCTTACAAAGATCTTATTACTTTTTTTTAGTCTTTTAATATTTTATTTTTGAGTAACTTTAATATATATATTATGACTATAAAATGATATATAATATGAAATAAGTTTACATATATATAGTAGACTTTCAATAGTGCATACAAATGAAATATTGTTTATTTAGTTATTTTTCAAATCAATTTTAGGACATTAGCTTTAACTAAATTTTTTATCTTTGGTTATAGGTGTCACATTTGCTGAATAAAGTTACACACTCAATATTCCTAAGACTCGATCAATATATTATTTTTAAGATAATATTAAATAATCATTAAGATTTATCCTTAAATATTTATCTCAATAAAATAATTTACCTCATATATATCAACCATTTTAAACATTTTGGTAAGAAACTCCTTGATTTTTAAATATCATTCACAAATAAGACCAATATAATAAACTTGCTCTCATTGATTTTTAAATATATTTTTAAATTTTAAAAAATAATAATATTATGAAACTATATATAATTACTTAGAAGTTTATTTAAGGTCATAAATAGATTTTCTATGTTTGTAAGCCAAATATTCCTTTCTCCTTTTCTATGAATCCATCTAGATCATAATATGCTACAATATTATAAATATTCTTAATAAATATTTTTATAAATTACAAAAAAAATTATATTATAGT